TTAATCCCAATTTCTTTTTCCAAGTTTAATCTAATCTGTATTTGCTTACGGTTGTGTGCATTATTCATAGCAATTAATATTCCCCTCAAATAAGCTTTGCTGGCATCCCAGACAATATTTATAGAAGTTTCTTTATTCAGGTTAAGTTGAAAAAACTCTTCCATACATTCCTTCAAAGCTTTAACTTTATCCTCATGGTTAAACAAGAGTGAAATAAATATTTGAACCACTGTCAATCAGCAAGATTTCTGGTTCCCAGGTGTCTTTTATACAAGTAATGAGCTGAGATTAGGAGCACTCTCTTAAAAAGATATAAAAGACCTGTATAAAAGACACCTGTCCACAGATACAATCAATCGATCAGATTCCAAACTCTCCACCACAGCCAAGGATGTCAGTGACAAGATTGTAGACCTACACAAGGCTGGAATGAGCTACAAGACTATCGCCAAGCACCTTGGTGAGAAGGTGACAATAGTTAATGCAATTATTCGCAAATGGAAGAAACACAAAATAACTGTCAATTTCCCTTGGTCTGGGGCTCCATGCAAGATCTCACCTCATGGATTTCAATGATCATGAGAACGGTAAGGAATCAGCCCAGAACTACAAGGGAGGATCTTGTCAATGATCTCAAGGCAGCTGGGACCATAGTCACCAAGAAAATAATTGGTAACACACTATGCCGTGACTGACTGAAATCCTGCAGCGCCTGCAAGGTCCCTCTACTCAAGAAAGCACACGTATAGGCCCGTCTGAAGTTTGCCAATGCACATCTGAATGATTCAGAGGAGAACTGGGTGAGTGTTGTGGTCAGATGAGACCAAAATTGAGCTCTTTAGCATCAACTCAATTCGCCATGTTTGGAGGAGGAATGCTGCCTGTGATCCCAAGAACACTATCCCCACCATCAAACATGGAGGTGGAAACATTATGCTTTGGGAGTGTTTTTCTGCTAAGGGAACAGGACAGCTTCACCGCATCAAAGGGATGGTGGACAGGGCCATGTACTGTTAAATCTTGGGTGAGAACCTCCTTCCATCAGCCAGGGCATTGAAAATGGGTTGTGGATGGGTATTCCAGCATGGCAATGACCCAAAACACATGGCCAAGGCAACAAAGGAGTGGCTCAAGAAGAAGCACTTTAAGGTCCTGGAGTGGCCTAGCCAGTCTCCAGACCTTAATCCCATAGAAAATCTGTGGAGGGAGCTGAAGGTTCGAGCTGCCAAACATCAGCTTCAAAACCTTAATGACTTGGAGAGGATCTGCAAAGAGGAGTGGGACAAAATCCCTTCTGAGGTGTGTACAAACCTGGTGGCCAACTACAAGAAACGTCTGACCTTTGTGATTGCCAACAAGGGTTTTGCCACCAAGTATTAAGTCACGTTATGCAAAGGGGTCAAATACTTATTACACTCATTAAAATGCAAATCAATTTATAACTTTTTTGAAATGTGTTTTTCTGGATGTTTTTATTATTATGCTGTCTCTCACTGTTACCATTAAGATCATTTTTTTGTCAGTGAGCAAACAAAATCAGCAAGGGATCAAATAATTTTTCCCCACAGCACTTGTACTTGGAGAAAAGAAACACCTTTGCAAATAGATATACACCTAATTCATTTTTCAATTTTACCTTTTAAAGTATGCAGAGTTACTGATAAAAAGAACTATGCAGTTAATATTGAAAAATTTAAAAGAGTAGTTTTTATAGAGAAAAGAAGATATAATAAATGCTGAGTTGCTGTGATTTTCCTCCCCCTCTCAGCATAACAAAGGGAAGGGTTCCTCTCTACTCAGCTGAATTCACCAGAATAAAACTGTATCCAAGTAAAACTTTGTTTCCCACAGTTGTCTCTTCTCTCCAAGTCCTATCTTTATTCAGCCATTTTCCTATGGGTGCAATTCTGTGCTTGTTTAGGGGTTTTTCAAACTTTTGAAGAGATTATTGTTATGTCTCTGCTCCCCATGATTGCAAGAAGCATTTTTATCATCTTATCATCTTTATGAGGAACTTGTTATCTTCAGTGTACTTGTGATAAGCAAAGAAATATTGGGGCCAGATTCATATTTTAATGCAAATGATTTTTAAAATGAATATAAAGTTGAAACTAAAGAACTTTTAGGATATTGGACAAGGAACTTACAAAAATAATTGGAACTTCGTTAATGTATATGCTAACTGTAACAAGAATTCTTTATACTCAAAAATGGAAAGATACATCAATCCCCACAATGGAAGAACAGATGAAAAAAGTGATGAGTTTAGCAGAGATGGCAAAATTAATTGTTTTAATTAAAGAAAAGAATATATCTAGTTTTGTTTCTACTTGGAAACTGTTTTTAAACTTTGTGCTCATGACAGAAAGTTTTGCTGATTAGATTAGTTTGTGTTATAGAAATGGCTAGTATTTACTAAGGCTATACCTTTATTTTTTTAATTCTACTGCACTGAAGTTTTTCTGTTTATTCCACACTTCTTTTTTATTTATTAACCTTATTGCCACCCATCTTGCCTAGAAGTGACTCTAGGTAGCCTACAACCAACAAAAGCAACAAGATAAAACATTAAAACAATAAATATCAACATTAAAATTGACTTAAAAATTAAGAAAGATGGCAAGGTAGGGAACAAGATGCACCTGGAGAAGAAGTGGGGTCTTATCTCAGTTTATTAACCAGCTCCAGTTTGACCCGCCTGCATCAAAGCCACAGGCCAAATGGCAAAACAAGTCTTTAGGACCCTTCAGAAGGTCAAGAGTACGTGAGGATCTCACCTTGCGGATGCACAATGTTCCAGAGGGCAGAAGCCCTGTCAGAAAAGACTCTTATCTTGGATCCTGCAACCCGGATTTCCTTGACCAACAAAGTCCGCATCATGCCTTCTGCCACCATGGATGGGTGGGCCAATTCCAATGGGGTAGGACAGTTCCCCAGATAAACCTGGAGCCATGCCATGAAAGGCTTTAAAGGGCTTTTACCAATGCTTTGAATTGGACCCAGAAACAAACTAGCAATCAGTGAAGCTCACACAATAATGGTGTACATGGGCCACCCTAGGGGCCCTAAGAATTGATTGCATGGATACATTCCACACCAGTTATAGCTTCCAAATTTTTTCCCCTTCCTTCCCCTTCCCATTTTCCTATCTTTATTTTCATTTGTATTTTATATTATAATGATTTAATTAAAAAAAATAAAATAAAAAAATAATCTTAAAGGCTTGCTACACAAAAGAAGGCATACCTTCTGTTCTATCATCCAAGAATCGGTGTGAACTAATAGATTCAAGTTACAGAATGGCAGAGTACAGTTTATTATAAGTGGGATGAGAAGAGATTAAAAATGTTCGAAAGTGAAAACTGTTTACACTGAGAACAAGCATAGACTAACACAACCAACAGTCAAAAATATTTTAATTCTAGGACTTCTGGGGGAGGTATGGTGAACTGTAGACTTCACAAAAGCAGAGCCAGCAGCTGTGGCAAAGAGCAAGGAACCAGTGAATAGACTAGTTCCTTGGAACTTCCTCTGTATAAAGAAAGGACAGGAGACTGCCCACATGTGCTCTGGACAGTTACCTTTTGCAAGAAGAGCACAGGATAGCAATTTTCAATAGGTTTAAGGGCTGAGAGGCTATGGACTAGGCATTTTGTTCACAATCGCAGCACAGACTTCTAAAGAACATTAGGTTCACAAAACGTTAGTTTCTAATCAGTTTCAGAAATTGGTCATTAACCATTTCTAGACTATTAGAGACTTTTGGCCTGACAAGTTTGAAAACACTAGATGAGTACCTTCAATTCTAAATGAAGAAAATTTTAATCATAGGTTTAAGAATGTAAAGAATTTGAAGTAAATAGCAAAATATTAAATATAATTTTGATCTTAGAAAATTGTAAACAGATTAAGGATCCAAATAAAATGGGAAAATTGAAACATTTACAATACGTTTTTGGAATTAATTATAAAGAATAAACATTTTTTGTGGGAAACAGATTCTGTTTTGGTTTTCACATGACAAAATAAACATAAGCAATTTCATGATTTCAAAAATTGGACAAAGAGACTAAAGTTTTAAGTATAGGAAAGATTTACTAACCTGCAAAATGTTGTAAATATTCTAACAGTGAACATACTGAAGGAAATTAAAAATTAAAAATAGTAGCCACAATATCAACAATGTCAGTAAAGATCTGCATCTATTGATAAACTATGCCCAAAATATTTACTAAGGGAATGATTTAGAAGAGGATGTTTCACTGGATCTACAAAAGAAATTGGCTGAGGATTTAAAATTTAAAGACAAATCTTGATATTTTTTCCCCCACTGGATTTACAAAAAAGGCTTGTTAAAAATCTTGAAAAATTCTTGGACATAAAGGAAATGAAGAGAAATTGAATCCTACAATATTTGAGTGAATTAAAAATTAAGGCTGTTAAAAGTGAAAGTAAGGTATATAAAGTTGGTTCATTTGATCAAAATAAGATATGACATCTCAGGCAACCCTTTACAGACCTTCTGCTGACATTAGGGTTGAATAGATGGAAATTTTATGGATTTATTTATAGGTAAGAGATGGAATATGGGATAAAAGTGATAGATAGTAGATAAAAATGTCTGTAACCTTAGAGGGGGTGAAGAATCACTAAATTTCATTATAGTTGTGATAAAGGCTAGAAGTAACTTCTTTATACATTTTTCTCTTTCTAATTTTCTCCTTATTCCTTTTTCTTGCACTATTTACTTTTTTCTATTCTCCTTTCTTTAAGTATAGTTTGTATTAGATTTTGCTACTACCCTCAAATAATCTTTAAATACATATACACATACACACACACACATGCATACACACAAGCACAAACACATATGAAAAGAAACATTGTTTACTGAAAAGGGTGTTGAAATAATTTAAAAAACTCTTCTAATGTTAACGTATAAAGAAATTTGAACTATTTTATCATTATTATTATTTAAACTGTATTAGCTTGCTACTTACTTGCTGCCATGTTAGCTTCAACCGTTCAAACTGCTCCTTCCCATCTTCTGAGCAATCAGAGCAAGTAAACTTGAAAAAGTTATCACCTTTAAGATAGGTGATCTGCTCTCTTGAATGACCTGTAAATAAAAATCAGTCCTTTTTTCTCCACAAAAACAGTGTAAGTCACATCATTATGAAGTATTTTACAAAGTGGTTTTTTTTTCAATTCAATCATGTCTGATTCTTGGAGATTGCCTAGAGCAGGGATAGTCAACCTTGGCTCTTTTATGACTCGTGGACTTCAATTCACAGAATTCCTGAGCCAGCTTAGCTGGCTCAGGAATTCTGGGAGTTGAAGTCCACGAGTCATAAAAGAGCCAAGGTTGACTACCCCTGGCCTAGAGTCTAGACAAATCCCTGCAATTTTCTTGGCAAGTTTTTTTCAGAAGTAGTTTGCTATTGTCTCCTTTGCAGGCCTGAGAAAAAGTGACTAGCTCAAGTCGAAGAAAAAGAACTGGAAAAAATTACAAAATATCGCGACCTGGCCATCAAAAGTGCGCGATTATGGATGAAACGTGTAACAGTAATACCCATTGTCATTGGGGCATTGGGAACTATCTCCAAAAACTTTGCAAAATACATCAAGAAACTGCAGCTTCCTGCAATAACTCCAGCAATGTTACAAAACACTGCGCTAATAAGAACATCTTATATTTTAAGGAGATACCTGGTTGACACCTAGGATGCTGGTAGCAACCCATGTCAACCATCAGCGCCAGCCAATTTGAATGTTCAGATGACTGAGGTTCATGTCTAATGAATAAATAGTAGTAGTAGTAGTAGTAGTAGTAGTAGTAGTAGTAGTAGTAGTAGTAGTAGTAGTAATAAAGTTGGAAGAGACCTTGGAAGTCATCTAGTCCAACCCCATGCTCAGGTAGGAAACCCTATACCATTTCAGACAAATGGCTGTCCAGTCTCTACTTAAAAACTTCTAGTGTTGGAACATTCAGTTTCGGGAGGTAGGTTGTTCTACTGATTAATTGTTCTATCAGGAAATTTCTCCTTAGTTCTAGGTTGCTTCTCTCTTTGGTTAGTTTCCATCTGTTGCTTCTTGTCCTGCCTGCAGGTGCTTTGAAGAATAGCTTGATTCCCTCTTCTATATGGCAGCCTGAGATAATGGAACACTGCTATTATGTCACCCCTCGTCCTTCTCTTCATTAAACTAAACATACCCAATTTATTTGTGTCTTAAGAGGACTAGGATCTGTCAATTATTTTGGAGTAAGCATAAATGATTTCAATGTTGTTTACTTCAAGAAGTATATTTCCAGGCTTCTGCAGTTCATACAAAACTAATTGATCATTTCTAAGGAACACCAGATGGTTAAAGCAGAATACCTAAACTTGTGTTAAGACACTATTCTTCATGGACATGTGTGCTTATGTGCAAAACAGAATAAAAACTGTAAGTTTGAGAAATTCCAATTCACAAAGGACACAATATAAAGAATTAAGAAGTCTTACTTGTTGGCAACCATTTTTGACATCTTTCACAGTAATAAGATAACTCCTCTGTCCATGATGTATCTCCTTCATCACTATTCACAGAGTCCCCGCTTTGATCATGGCTCAAATCCACTGATGCCTGATCTTCAGATTCTACTATAAGAAGAGTCTCTCCTTCTACTTCCCCCTCTTCCAGCCCTTCTGAAGGAGATGTTCTTGTAGCTTCATCATCATGACAAGTCATCATGTCACTCATGTATGCATTTTTATCCATTATGCCTATGGAGAATTATTTTCACTATATAAAAATGTTTTCTTCTAATATTTAAAAAGAATAATGATTGACTTGGTAAATATGATAATAAGATTATGTAACGGAAAATTATAATGATAATTCTTTTCACGCTTAGGATTTTCTTGCCATTAGCATTTTGCTATTTTCTGCTTCAAGTTGTATGGCCAAAGTAGTATGTTTATCTAAAATATTAAAATGTTCCTTGTATTTCTGTCTCTCAAGATCTCTGTACACGCCTTCATGTAACTTCTGAAAAAAGATATAATATTATTAAAAGATTGGAAAAGATCTATCGTACTTGCTATAAAATTAAGAATACTTTAAAATTAATATATATTGCAATATAGGTTTTCATCAGATATGCATAGATTATAATTATACAATATTAATTAGATTACAGATTCTTAAAGATACTTATGAAAAAAATATACAATAAGCCAAAAATATAATAGCACTTGACTTATGACCATAACTGGGATCAAATTTCCATCACTAAGCAACGTGGTCATAAACAAGATGTCACACAGCTCTGAATGAGGTCCTTTCAGTAAGAAACACAGGGGTACAGAGGGTGGGGGGGAGGCCCAGCATAGGTTACGAGCAAACTGGGGGTGCTGCAGTATGCCACAAGCACAGATAGATTGGGAAAGAATATGCTTGGCTCAGGGGATTCTTGATGTGGTACAGTGAAAGATGCCTGAGTCATAGTGCTGCACAAAGTTGCAACCATCCCTGGAAGCATTAGCCATTTCAACCCAGGCCAGCAGCATGGAGTGAGCCTCAGCCACATCAGCTATCCCACTGGCCCAGCAGTGCGGTGTGCTCCAATCAGCTACCCTGCCACAACCAGCTGGTCTTCACCATTTTTTTCTCAATGCTAAGGCACATCAGGCCTGACCCTACTGCATGTGGAGCAGTTATTGGCCACACCAAGCCTTCTTCCTGAGGCCTGGCAATAGGGTCAACTGCTTCATCAGGAGGAAAATTGTGATCAGTTGAGCATGGCAGGGTCTGAGGAATACAGCGTGACAGGCAACACTGGAGCTTTGTGCACTGGTACTTAGGTAGCTGCCTGCAGTATGGGGCTTCACATGACATTGCTCAGTGGCAGTGGCAGCACTGGGGCTGAAGTAGAGGCAGGGGGTGTTGCAGATGGCTGAGACTTCAGCCCCAGGCCTGCTGCCATGAGCAGGGAAGCCACAAGGCATAAATCAGGGGAAAGAGATGGTTGGGGGGGTGCTCAGAGTGCCATTGCAATTATAAGTGCAGGCAGACTGCCAAGAGCCCAAATTCTGATCATGTGACTACAAAGGCACTTCAATGGCTATAACTTCAGGCATAGTTGTAAGTTTCTTCATTCAGGGCCTTCATAAATTTGAATGGTCATTGAACAAGTGGTCGTATGTTGACGACTACCTCTACTCATATACAACTTACAACCACAATTGACATCAGAATTTCCATTGCTAAGAAGATGGTTAAGTGACTTGTATGTGATTTTATCTTTTTTTTGCCCCAGTTGTTAAGCGATTCACTGCAGTTAAGTGAATACAATGGTCATTAAATGAATACAGCTTCCTCTATTGACTTTGTCGGAAGCCAGCTGGGAAGACCACAAATGATGATCACGTGACTCTGAGACACTGGAATAGATGTCAGTTTCCAAGTGTTCAAATTCTGATCACACGACAACGGGGATGTTGCAAACAGTTGTAAGGACAAGGACTGGTCATAAGTTACTTTTTTCAGTGCCATTATCATTTTGAAAGTTTGCTAAACAAATGGTTGTAAGCAGTGGTGGGATTCAAATATGTGAACAACTGGTTCTCTGTGTGGATGCTGCTTCCGGAAGTCCATTCTGGGCCTGGGCAACAAAAAATTAGCTATCGGTTCTGCCGAAGTGGTGCGAACCGGCTGAATCCTACCACTGGTTGTAAGTAAAGAACTATAGATAGTCAACTTAAAACCAATTGTTTAGTGACTGTTCAAAGTTACAGTGGACCCCCCAAAAGCTACTTATGACTTAGTTCCAAAGTTATGACTTTTGCAGCAAGGACCTGCAGCACCCCCCTATCTCTCCATTGGGTCCTGCAGGCCTTGGGCCTGCATCCCATCCCTTCAGGCCCCAACCTCCTCACTTACCTTTTTAAGATCTCTGGAGCTCATGTTAGGGAAGCAAAACAGGCCTCACTGTGTCTGGGCTGCATGGCATGATTCCAGGAGCAGCCACCATTTTCAAAGCGCCCACTATTCAGGGCAGCTTCCCTAAAAATGGCAACCACTTCCAGGATTGCACCATGTAGCCCAGGAACAATGAGGCCTGCTTTGCTTCCCATTTGGATTGTTGTTTGATTTGATTTGATTTGATTTGATTTATTATATTTATACCCCGCCCTTCTCCCGGAGGACTCAGGGCGGCTTACAGCCAGTTTAAAAACAGTTTGATACAAATACAAAATACAAAATTTAAGAAAATAATTAAAAATAAATATTTAAATAGGCCGCTTCTACTAAAATTTAGTTAAAACCAATTTAAAATACCCCTAGGCCAGTCCTGCCCGCTGA